ACGAATAATTTTATTCCAAAGCAGGATTGTAGAAAATAACCCTCTATATTGCCATATTTATTCTGTACTTGAAGATTAATAAGCTATATAAAACCTTACCACGATGCGAAATTGAATAGAAATTTCTCCTAGAGGCGTCATGAACATTGATATCAAAGGTATACAAGCACCATCATTTTGAGGACCCATGTTTTATCAACCAATAGTAATTTGTTATCGTGATAAAGAGCTGTGGTAGCCCATTGATAGAGTAGTTATACACTGTAATATTAAAAAAAGCATTTTGTGGAAACGCTGCAAAGATGATTTGTTTTTTTGTAAATTTTCTGGTTAACAACATAAAAATACATTTAACTTACTTTGTTACATTAGAGATTAAAAATATCTAGCCATTATGATTGACTTTGCAAAGTAAACTATTTCAATAGAAAACGAACAAAAATTTGTTTTGCCTTGATAACAACGGAAAGATATTATTATGAAATGGCGAAACACTATGCTGAGTTTTGGTTTGACACGATAAAGTTGCTTTTCAGTCAAAATCTTTATTTTCTAACTCACGTCGGTGTCGGTCAATGTGGCCTTAAGGGCGTCTTTAAATTATAGCTTATAATAATATAAGGCCCATTTAGATGGAGAGTGTTTATAGCACGCTTCGTGACGAAAAATCGTACGCGATTATCGTAAGCAATAATCGACATAAGATTATTGTATCATAATGTTTACATTCAGGCAAGAACTAAAATCTCGCCTACGATTATGTCATACGGAATGGACCTGGTGATTAAGTTCATTGCACTGTATAGAAATATACAAATTTTATAACATGTCTTAAGTCAACATTTTTTTTCTCTCTCGTTTCATTAATTCTTGTCTTAGAAAAGCAGTGATAATCAAAACACCCTCGCGCACTGCACCCATGCTAGAAACGGCTAGCACAAAAACTCAAAATACGATTTTTGCTTTCAAGTTCTGTTTACACGGAGACGTTCAATATTTAAAGGCGAGGCGATTATCGCTCACGGGGAAGGGCGACAATCGTGAATATTTTTAATGTTCTTTCGATAATCGTATCTTTGAGATGTGAAACTCTCTCCATCTAAATGGGCCTTTAGGCTGAGAACTCACGGAGTGGTTTTAACCCGCGCCAGTCGCGGCTGCGGGACAGCTGTTTTATTTCAATACTCATGACAACCGATCGAGATTGTTGTCGCCGAACCGATCGCAGAGTGCGCGGGCGACGGTTGCCAAGCGCGCGGTGACCGCGTCCCATGCGGTCTACTAGTACCCGGGCGTAAAACGCGTCGTGAAATGTGGTACTAAATTTTACATCCATATCGTCGGTGTATTGTAAAGGCGTAAGCGCCATTTCGAAAATTTTTTTAGGGCGTCCTCTTAAATTCAATTATAAAACTTAAACTTAATTGAAACCAACATTTTATTTAAAACAGGACGTAAACATCTTACAACAGTCGTGAAAAATTAAAACATCATCACCTAAAAATTCGTCATTCTATGACGGAATTTCAATGCATTTGGAAAATTCCTCCACCTTAACATTTTGAACATTACCACATCATGTATCTGTGTAGTATTTTATATTAAGACTTTTATAATTGGTTTTATTGTATGACAAACACAGGTTTTAGGAGTTTTTATTGTACATAGTTTTAAGTCAGAAAATAAAGTATTGAGAAAATTTTATCCTAGTATTTTATTTACCAGGTTTCGAAAGTATCATTTATTTTGTTTGATAATTATCCGATATATAGCACATGAAAGCGAATACTGTCATAACTCAAAATTGTAGAATTGAAAAAACACGATTTGATAGTTCAAAAAATTACTGAATGAAACCAATACAATAAATATATTATTCTCGTTTATAAATGGATAACTAAATGTTATGTATAAATAATCACATTATTTGCAATAAGATCCTTTTTTTTTAATTTTAAATTGTGTTTCCACAAATTTTCAGTTATGACAGTATTTTATCAGATCTAATTTTAAATTTAAATTTTATCATTATCCGTGCTAATTCATAGCTTTACCTGTTTAACTTTTGATTAAAATGACGAAAAGCGAGAAAACTATATAAACTTGAACAAAAATTGGGAAAACAACTTGGTTTGTGACTTTTTTGAGAAATAAAGATTTTGACAATAAGTTTAAAAACGCGTGATTTTCGTGACGGTACGACATTGTGATCGCGAGAAGACATTGCATTCGCCGTGCAATATGTGTGTATGAAACCTACTTTCTAATTCGTTAAACTATTTCACCTATCGTTATTACTTTAGACCCTACAATTAATTGTAATGAATACCTGTACCAATGAATCAAGACAAAGTCCAGATGAATCGACTTCATCACACGACATAATTCCAAACGCAACCAAAAACTACTACGGCGTCACTGGCGCCGTCCCCTGTCTTACGTCATTTCAAAACAACTTTGAAATTAAACCAAGACTAATATTGATTCAATTATTATCTATCGTCGGGACTGTACCTCAAAATTCTTAGAATGAACAATATACACTTATTACAGGTAATTTATTTACAACCGCGGTACTGTCCCGAACGAAATTTAACACAAGTCTCAATTTACATTGCCTGGAAGTGGATTGAAAGCTAATGTTTGTAACCATAGCATAATGATTCTTATGTCAGTCGCGCGTCTTTCGGAGAATTCTCGTGTAGTTTCGGGACATCTTTTAGTAGCAGTAGAGCTCCTTGAGAAAGAGTTCGTTGAAAAGAACTACTGCCACCTTACCTATTTCTGACGCCAAGCAGTAATGTTAGCATTACTGCGTTCCAGTTTTGAAGGGTAAGGTTGGTGGTGAAATTACAGGCACATGGAACTTGTCAACTTATGTCTCAGGATGACTGGCGCTGTAACAGTGCCCCTCAGATTTTTGCGATTTAAAGCTCTGAGTGGCACTGCAACTGTTATGGACAGACGGACGTATAGCTTACCATCAGGCGCATGACTTTCGTTCCGTCGGTACGGTACGGTACAGACACGGTATGTACAGACAGGCGCACATCTTGCTTGACACTTTGAACTTTGGATTATGCATTTGGAGTTCAATTTAAATCTGAATTGTCAAATTTGACATGTTCTTGAATGTTACTTAATGCTGTAAGTGAGAGGTAAAGAACCTTAAGTGCCAAATAGTAGGTAATTTTGACTACCGAGCGTTTTAAAGAGAATTATGCTTATAATTAGGTATTTAAAGTCAATTTTAACCCTGTCATGGACGGTACATAAATAGTAACGGACACGAAAGTGTTTATATTATTGATTGAATATAAAATGTTCAAAGTAGGTATGTAAGTCATTAAATTTTGTCAGTACGTTGTTGACACTTCCCTATGGAGAAGCTGTAGGTGGCAACTATAGAGAAGGCACTTGGAAATCGAACTGTAAAGCCCGTAGTTGGTTTTTAAGATCCATATCGATACCTCACACGTAAACTGCTGTAAGTCAAAATACCAGTTTTATACTTTCTAACCTATATATATATATATATATATATATATATATATATGTGTCCTTTTATTAAGTATATTATAGTTTCCATGTTTGAAAGTAAATATAACACTAAGTGATTTCATAGATTCTATAAATACAAATAAAAAAATCTATATAAGTAAGTTAAAAAGCAAAAAATGGTATTTTGACTTACAACAACTTACAATGCACTGTAAATGTCACATTCTAATATATAATTTTACTGTAAACACTAATGTTACTGTCCATGAACGTTAAACAAATACGTTTTTTGCCATTGCGTTTTTTTCATTCTAAAGTAGGTATCTAAAGCGATGATTTTAAAACATTTAAATTAGTTAATCAGTTATAAAAGTTTTTGGTTTTTTTTTCGAGCCTCCAGCTGTAGTTATCTTAATTATCATCGTAGTTGTCGTTGTGTACGTAATTAAAATTATTACATTAAAAGATTACGGTACTATACCGTAGTCATATTGTTTATTAAATTTAAACCAGATATTAACCTCTTATCAGTACAGTTGTCACAGCGCAAAGTACCACTATTACAAACAGTAGGTACTTAGTACTTTGAGGTTTTGCATGTTAAAAAGTCCAGAGAACAATTCGTCATCCGTACTATCATATTAAATCTCCCAATAATCACCTTTAATTACACGACATACACACACGAAAATTACATATATATAAATATGACCAATGTGTCTATTTACAATGACCAACTATTAATGAACTTCTTACTCATTGTCCTTAAATTAATTTTATTTTTCAGTGTAATTTGCGTACGTATGAAACATAGTTCATCAATTTTACAGTCTAACTGCCTCTGTGGCCGCACGATTACCATGCTGGACTCCCACGCAGAGGTCCCGGGTTCGATTCCCGGGCCGAGAGAATTATTCGTATGGCCTACATTATTTCTCTCGTGAGTTTGGGTGTAATTTGTGGATGTCTGCCTGTGTGTGTGTCCATGGCATATGGCGATACAGGGTTTCCTAGTGCCGATCTGTGAGTGTGTGCGTTATTCATTTATTTATTTTCAGTACGCATAACATACTCGCCATTTATTGTTATTATAATTTAAGTTTGTCTACCAAAATGGAACGGAGAAAAACTATTTCAAAAATCAAAGGAATTTCATTATTTTTACGTTGCAGAAGAAGAATGTCTTCTATAACTTATTACTTATATAATATATGCCAGACAATAACACAAATTATTTGATCACAAATAAAGGAATTCCTGGTAATTAGTGTTCCCGAGATCGTCAAAAAAGAAACGCTTTAAAAAAAATAAACCTCGGTAAATACCAACTCGACGTACCGACGTACCGAAATACTTCAACTGCGCCATTTATTAAGATGAATCATAATGAACCAAAGGGGAACAACTGCATCTTTCCTCCAATTCTGTCAAGTTAAGATAGTAGGATTCCCTTTGGTGTTTCAAGTCTGTATAAATACCTGAGCACGCGTTGTGGAAGTATCATACAGTTTCCAGCCTTTGCGTGTAAAGAGTATAAAGAAACATAGGTAAGTCGCTTTTCTACTCTTTTCAGCTAAACTGTAGTTAGTTTAATTTTTGCTTTGAAGGGTGGTGGTGAAATTACAAGCACATGAGCCTTGTCAATTTATGTCTCAGGGAGACGGGCGCAGTGGCAGTGCCTCTCAAATCTTTGCGATTTAAAGGTCTGAGTGGTACTGCAGCTGCTATGGACAAGCGTGTCGCTTACCATCAGGCGGACGACTTGATGGTCCTGTCACTAGGTATCATAAAAAAATGGTTGCTTACGTTATGTTGCCAAATTTCAAGAAACCAATTTTTTGTGTTTCATATGATGAGCTACAAATAAAAACATACAAATAATCGTAATTTTTTGTCGGGAATTCTACCTTACTTCATTTATATGTAGCGTTCAAATTGTAGTTCAGAATAATTACAGTTAACATGTGGCTGAGTGGTCCTAAATTGAAAAAATTAAGTTTTAAGAGATGTTTAAGTTTAATTTTTTCTAAAGTTTTCTCTTATCTTTAAAATTTCTTTCGGACATTGAAACTGCACCAAATGCCTTTATTATTAAGTATACACACAATAAGTGTACCCATGGATATTCATTTAAATCGAGTAATTAATTTATTGCAACCTATAGGTACCCACCTCCACAATTATTTAATTTTCTGAACAATAAATTATTCCTTTCAGAAACCATGAAGTTCCTTATTGCTTTCGGCGTAGCTCTAGCAGCTGTAGTAGCGCAGGAAGAAAATCTAGAACCTCAATATGTATATGTAGACGCGTAAGTATTTGTCTACACTTGTATTCATTCCTGAAGTGCAACACTAGCTTGAATAATATGGTTGGTTTTTAGCGTAGAGCTATATCGTATGATACTTTAGTTATAATTTTAGCGCAGTACAGTTTATCATGACAACCACACTCCTCAGTAGCGCCTGTAATATTTGCTATAGCACGCCTTGACAATGAAAGTATGTACTTAAAGGTTCTGGGGATTACTTTTTGCGACTTTGTCACGTTGCAACCTTTGTGCGATATCCGAATCAACCAACAAACTTTATTATATTCTTTATTGCACCAAATAGAATTGCACAATAGAAAAGTTAATTGAACAGAAGGTAAGCAAAGTTGGATTTATCTCTAAAAGAGATTTTTTCCAGTCAACCCAAGGTAGTGACAGCAAAGGTCATAAGCGGGCAGTAGCGTGCAAGAGAGAGAGAGAAATATTGTAAACTACTAGTTAAAAACCTTTGATCCATCTACGTAACCGTTTTTCATAACTAGTTAAGAAAGAAGATTTTTCTTTCACTGTTTCTTAACGAGTTATTAAAAAGGAATATTTAATCCATATTCAAAACTCAAGTTACGAAAACGTTACTTAAATTAATCCAAACGTTCGTCAGTTTTCTTCTTCATTCAAATACATTTAACAAACTTTTCAGCTATCCAGAATGGTATGTCCAGCCTGCAGTAGAACACCAAGAGAGATACCGTCGTGACGTCACCTACAGCAAACCAGTCGGCGGTGGAAAAGTCTTCGGGACTCTTGGACAAAATGACAATGGATTGTTTGTAAGTGTTATAGTTGAACATTTGAAGGTATATTATCTAAAACCAGGGTTAGACGTTGTCAAGATATTTATTTTCTTTGATAAAATTGTCATGATAAGTTTTCGACATAATATACATATAGATGTTCGATAATTATCCATGCTGATTCATACTTGTTTTGTCTCAATAATTTTTTACCAAATCCGGCAAACAGTGAGAATACTAAATAAACACGAAGAAAAAAATCTTTGGGACAACGATTTGGTTTGTGATTTTTTGAGATTGACATTTGACGCGTTTACGTACGCTTCTAATACACACACATGGCACGATATTGCTAGCAGTGATTTGAACTAGCCGAAACTGATGGCTCTTTTTGGAAACCTTGCTTTGGAATCTCTCAGAGGCAAAAGGTTTTAGGCATAACTTTTGAAGAAACGTCTTCACTACAGTGTATATTATAACTTCTTCGATGTGGGTTTAAATAAATTGTTTTTATAATCTTTTTCCAGGGCAAAGCCGGCTATAATCGCAACATTTTCGATGACCATCGCGGCAAGCTAGACGGGTCGGCCTACGGCACCCGTGTACTTGGCCCCAATGGCGCATCCAGCCACGTTGGAGGCTCCTTGAACTGGAAGAACTCCAATGCTGCAGCGAATTTGGATATTAGCAAGCAGATTCATGGGCCGTCTTCTGTAAGTGTTTTTTTTTATAACGATTAGATCGACGATAGAGCATGGTAAATAATGCCTATTCATTCTTACTTTGAAAAGGCCGAAGGTAAACCTGCAGGTAGAAAATTTCACTCTATAGGTGTTCGCCACATAAATTTGGAAGCGTAATACGTCGTGCGAATCTTTGGAATATCCACAACATAGGGGTGAAATCCCAGCCTACGTTTAGTCTCTCGATGACGGAAAGGAGAAGGCGGAATTAATAGAAGGTGCGATTCCATTACATACTCTCCGTGATATATGCTGTAGAATATCGATAAGTTAAGATAAGATAAGGCAACTTTACGGCGGTGTTCCAGAACCTGCAGCTTCGCCTCTACTAAATCCGTCTATAAAGTGTATTGGCTACCTTTACCAGAGACCTAACCGTGTAACTTGTAATACAGTATGAATTTCAAGTTGTAATGTCAAATCTTCACTCTTAATTATTGGTCCAGTAACCATGGCTAGCCATGCTAAATGCGTTTTTCAACTCGTAGCTACCATTCGAGAACCTTATTCTATAGAAAGTGACTGTTAAGCCGTAATTACCATGTCAGCAAGTTTATTCTTGTTCCGTTAAGATTACGGCTTATAATTCCTTCATTTGGTTCTGAATGAACATACTCAACAAAATGTCCGTTTTATTCTCAGATTAACGCGGGTGCAGGCGGTCGTTGGCCGGTCGGTAAGAATGGAGACTTTTCTGCTCAAGGCTTCTATGGCAAGACTTCGGGCTTTCCTTCTGATTACGGCGTGAGAGGCGTTTACAACTACCGTTGGTAAAAAGATGGTGACGTTTGGTGGGCCGTAAATGAAATAAAAATGTGTGTAAAAAATCCTACAGAAATATTCCTAAAAATATTAAATTTACAACATTGTTAAGGAACAGTTTTTCGTATTTGGCCGTTTCTATTTTCAAGTTATTGCAACTGCCACTTTTTTCTGCAAATTTCAACGCTATGTAAACTAAATAATTTGGGCATATGATATATCTTCAGGTGTGGCCTACTGAGTATGCATATGAGTATGTACAAATCTGTTAACACGTAGTGTACCTGCAAGTATACAGGTTTATACATGTAATAAGTATTCTTTTCTGGTTGTATTTTAACTTGCAACTTTGTGTAAAATATTAGGATAGGTATTATTATAATAATGTTTGGCTATGATTATACCAAATTTGTAAAATATAATAAATATTTATTTTCTGAGCAATATACTAGTGTACAGGGTCAAGAGCACGTCAAGCTTGATACTTAAGATTTAAATCCCACTATATGCCGCTTATGATAAGAACGGTCCAACGGTACAAAGTGTCAAGCTTGACGTGCTCTTGACTGTATATTCTTTTCTATGCCCTTGTAATTTTTATTTTTTATTTTAAAGCTAGTTACAATTATAGTTGTCCACATTTTCATATTTAAATATCTATGTTATGGTAAAAATAAGGTAAAAGTTAATACCTCATAGAGAAAAAAAAACAAACGCAAAGGTACCTACAATAATAAGCATAGAAAAAAAGGTAAAGTGACGTGAAGTGTGCAATCCGGACGTACAAAAAAGCGTGCGTTAAAAAAAGTTGTTAAATAAAAAAGCACGAAACAAGAAAAATGCAAGTACCGACTCTGTAAGTGGTACACCGCACTGTATTCAAATTTAAATTTCAGTTAATTTGAAATATTTTCTAATAAGATTGTTTCCAATTTCCGTTTAAAAGTGTGCTTATTTAAATACGTATTATTTAAATACCATGATTCTATCCAATTGAAGATATTTAAACTTGCGTAAAACAACTGCCAATGCATTGATAACAAGTTCTGTAAATATTGAAAAATATATCTTAAACAGGGTTATTTATAAAATACAAACAATGACATCACGGGCAATTGCAGCCTAGATCCAGCGATCGTGGTCGCATACCGAGAATTGTCCTCAAATTACGTAAGTAGATAACATACGTTTTATTCTTATTTTATTTTTAAATGTAGCCTGTACTAAGCCCGGTTAAGTATGAAGGGATTGTGGATTCAGTGTCCAAATTGTAAGCTTAAGTTAAATTGTAATTTGTTTTCACTTGATAAAAGTATCAAGTGAAAATAAATTACTATTTAACTTATAATATCAGTATCAAGAAAAGTGCGAGTTAGTGATTTGTTTTTATTTAATTGCTCTTAGTAACTCACGGGTATCTCTAAAAATTGTGATCTCCAACCCAGTATATCAGTCGCAGCATAAGAACTTGAGCGGGTCTGCAAACACAAATATGTATATCGGCACATGGCTAACTGAAGTCTGGGACAGTGAAACTGCAATTAAAACCCCCATTGAAGTTGCCAGGAGTGCCTTTAATGCGGAAACTATTATGCTGCCGTCGTCTTAAGATTCCTTTGCGCACTCGACTTCTTCAGTCTTACACCTGGCCAATACTTTTCTACTTGTGAGGCCTGTACAATAAAAGAGCATCTCAGGAAACGTATTGAGGCATTTGGAATGTGGGCCTACAGAAGAATGTTGCACTTATCATGGACTCGCGAGTCTCCAATGACGAAGTTCTGCGACTACTTGGACAGAAGCGTAAATTTGTCTACAAAAGTCATCAAACAAAGAAAAGTTGCATATCTGGGTCCTCCACTTAGGCATGACAGATACGAACTTCTGTTACTGATAATGATGGAAAAGTAGCTGGTAAAATTTTGTTTAAAATTAGGTTGGTCAAAGGAAAAGAATCGTGGCTGAGGAATATACGAGAGTGGACTGCTACAGCGAGTGCCGCCCGACTGTTCAGCCTCTTCAGAAATAAAGATAAATATGCTGAGTTGACTGCTAACCTTCACTAGTAGGAGAGGTAACTTATTAGTTATTAATAATTACATTCAAACGTAGTTTTCGGGACGTGATTAGGTTTATTTAAATAAAATAGTATTGTTACTGGCTGTATTATATCCATTATGACTAATATGAAAAATTTTAAAATTGTCTTATTTCCTGAATACAATAACTGCGATACTTCAGAGAGAGGTGTAGTTAACATCTAAGAAGTCCGATCTCTATTAATACGCGATCTAGGAAGTAATTTTTTACTTATCTCGTGACGATGCTGACCTCCTCCATCATCTGCCCATCTTTTTATCAACCTCTTTTCCGGTTTCTGGCCATTTATTTTTAAAATTTTTGAAACGTTATCGAATACCATTTCCCTTCGCTATTTTTAAGTTTGTTCTATTCGTCGTCACTTCCATCAAAATTCTGAAACAGATGACGTGCCCATAACACAAATCACCTTCATTTCCTTATGTATGTTTCCTTATATGTTGTAATCACGTCGCGTCGTAGAGAGTTTTATAATAATTGTACCCTTTTTATACAATTTATCATTTGTTACAGCCCTTCCCTTTCCTCTTTTATCATCTTTTGCAACAAATCGTGTGGGCTGAGCTTCTGCATTCTGATTTCTCCGGCTAGGCTGCAATCTTCACCATCATAAGATAACGACCATAATTAAACACGGATCTTTTATATACCATGCCGTTACTATTACATGACTACTTAAACCGCTGACCTAAAAGTTTCACAGAATGCGTAGAAGTAGTTGAACATTTTTTGAAATACCTTTTTGTAAATATTACATAAATACCAGTAATTTTAATGCATAAATTAATTAAAAAGTTTTATTTTACAAAGTCTATAATAAATATTACAATATACTACTCGAAAACCCAACTAATAGATCTACTCACCTCAGACAAAAAATGATATGTAACTACTCGCACGGGGTCACGCACTAAGATGGCAGTGACGTGTGCATACTCTTTGACGTCTTATTTGTCACTAAAATATCATATTTGGCGCGAATTACGAAGTTATTGTATACGAGAGAGACTTCCAATCGACCTAAGTATTATTTTCTATCGCGTAAAAGTAAGTTCACCCGATGCAAGTACTTAAGGATTAATATAATAATGTGCCAGACAATCACACGAATGGTCTGGTCCCAAACTAGGGAATTCCCTGTGCTATGAGTGCCAGTGCAACGGAATGCACTCTAGAGTATAGGTTCCCAAAATTTTATCGCCCACTTAGGCAAGACAAAAAAATTCCAACAAGCCCACAAGCACAAAAAATAATTGGAAAAAAAAAGGTATATTTTATATATATTTTGTTTAACACAAAAAATTACAAAAAATATACATATTTGTAGTCATGTTTATATAGATATATCAAGTGTTTTTTAATGCGGTACCGTCAACGCCCATAGGCGGTCTCTACCACACTTTGGGAAACTATGCCTAAAGCCCTTCCTAGAATGCCCAGATCAGCACTAATTTAGAAATGTTCATCTCCTAAATTAGTCTTTTTTGGTTGGGACACTGCAAACCGTTGGGCCACCGACGTCGTCAAATAGTTACAGTTGAAGAAATATTATTTGTTCGATGAATGTTATCTCTTGGAATGGTTTATCCTTTCTATTACAATAGAGTAATAAAACCATTAACACTTTTACTCAAAGGGTACATGGACTTAATGACCTTGGTTCATAATATTTTTCTGAATTCTAGTTTTGAATTACTTCTTCATCATTCATCAGGTCGTTTTTTTAAACTGTATAGTGTTTTTTAAACTTCGTAAAATACTGACTGCTAACTATTTTCTTACTATGTAGTTCAACAAAGTTAGTTCGCATAAAAAGTATCAAGTTTAGAATTAAGTGCCATTGCGTAAAAGTGTTTAGAATAATTGTTTGCTCTGTACAGATGGCACGTGCCTTACCGAAGCGTCTCAATCTTTTGTCCTATTGTACTTTAACGATGAAGCGATAAGACGAATCGGTGCAAATAATATTTCGCCAACTATAACAGAAATGGCGGCCAAATTGGAGTACCCTAACCTCGCAAGCGATGCGCGCTCTTAATTACCACATGCTCATCTAATTCCCTACATCCCTGCCATCCAATAACGGTACTGTTTCGGAGCTGTTATAGTGCAGAATTGATTGCAATTATGTCGAGGGTGAGTTTACAGTACAGTCAATTTAATTGGAATAGCAATACTTTCATTCAAAAGTAATTTATTTGCATTTAACGTAGTGTTATGTACGTCCTTGTGTATTTGTGTAAAGGCGGCATTTAACATGGATGTTTGTATTCGCTATTGGGTGTATGTAGTAATTGGTAAGATATTTGATTTATATTTATTTGTTTATTGTGCAGTTAATTTAGTTAGTCTGTATTTTATTTAATCGACATCAAAAAAAGAGGAGGTTCTCAATTCGTTTTTTTATATTTTGAAGTGACGGGACGAACAAGTCGTGCGCCTGATGTTAAGCTACACGTCTGTTCATAACAGTTGCAGTGAGTCTCGTCACCCTGAGACATAAGTTGACAAGTTCTATGTGTCTGTAATTTAACCAGCATGTACATTTTTTATGTATGTTACGCGATAACTCTATAATTTGTAAACCAATTTTGAAGATTCTTTTTTGTTGGAAAGAGGGTATCATTAGTGGTCCAATTTAAATTTGAAGAAAATATTCCACCTCTAAGGGTGGCAAACTAAGGGATGAAACCGGTTTCGCGCAGTTTCCGATTTCAATAAAACCTGGCAAATAAATGTAATTCCACGAACTTTTGAGGTCGGTTTTTTTAGTACTCTGTACTGATTAAAACTCGCATGAGATTCGTCTATAAAATCACTTCCGGTCCTATTGAATACGTGACGTTTACTGTAGTACCAATTTAATTGTACAGCTTAATTCCATTACATTTGGTTGAGGCTATTTTAAAACTCGGACTTTCGTGTACAAAATCGCTACCGCTCCTCTTATATATGTAACATTCACTGTGGTATTAATCTAATTGTGCAATTTAATGCTACCCCATGCTAATAGATCCGAGTTCAAGCTTCAAGGCAATCTACGCCGGCTCTGTCTGATCTTGTTAGGGTATCCTGCTGAGCGAATCTATGTTTTGAGTTTGCGGTTTTGAGATTTGATTTTGACAAGATCATTCTGGAGTTGGTATTTGAATTGACTTTAGGGTTTTAATATATTTTTATAACTGCTAGATGGCGTTGTCTAATTTTAAGTTATTTCAAAAATCACTTTTTTGTTTGGCGTCCTTGTGGGAAAGCATGTTTTTGTAATACGTATTAGTTTTTTCT